ATTTTAAAGCTAAGCTATTTAAAAATGCAAAATGTTTCATCAGTAATTGTATTATTTTTTTTTAATTGTAATTTTTGTTTGGAATGGAAGAAAACTTCTTTAAAGTAAATTCAAGTGTTTCGATTTCATATAAATTGTCAATCATAAATACGCATGTGTTTAGAATCTAATCAACAATTAGTTTAATTTGAAGCTCAACTGTTTATCTGTTTATGATCACGTTTTTCTAAGATTTTTTTTATTCATAAATACTCAATTTGAACAAAAATGATGAACAATTATATTTAATTTATAATCACCATTCCTACAATCTGCTAGAAAATACATATTTAATTTTGTATTTAAAATTTGTAAAAAAAAGATCACTGAACAAACAAACATATACACGCATAATACCCTCTGATAGTTTTTATTTAGAGTTAAACTAATGATTATATTAAGTTTGTATTAATTATAATCGAAATATAAATCAAAGGACAACAAAAAACGTAGTGATAATGTTTCACAGTATAAAGAACAAAAATGTAAAAATTACCCCCTAGTTTACTATTGTATGCGTTTAGATATTCTGGAAATGCGAGTGTGCCTTTTGTAGTTGTATTGTATAAAATTATTGTGCTCACTTGTATAAAGAATTTGATTTTTTTTTCAACCTAAAATAACAGTTCAGGTTGCACGATTTTAGTTTCGATATAGCTAAAAGCTTTTATATAAGATATTCGTGATTTACGGAGCATTTTATTTGCTTTTTCTTTCATAGTCATGCACAGTTTAATTTAAACCTACCGATATTTCACTGGGTCAAAATGATTTCAGAATAAACTTTAGTAGAATGTAAATATTTTCATATTTTCTCAAAGATTTCAAAACGATTATTGATGTTATATAATTTTTTTTTAAAATATGCAGGTTTGAAATGATTTGATACCTATTACGCCTGGATGTAGAGTTCTAATGATGTGTGAAATGTTATTTAAAATTTTTGCCTAGAATTGGCCTAGATGAACAAATTTAGAGAACAAATGGAACAATAGTTCTAATTCAAGTAAAAGGAAAAGGTAGCACTTCTTTTTTGTGAATGTATTTTTGCTTTAAAAAGATTATTGCAATAAAATTTCAATTTTAAAATTATAAAAACAGGGTGTCCCAGATCTTAACGTCAAGCCGAAAAAAGGTTATAGTGTTGTCAACTGTACTGAATTTTTTTTTAGAAAAAACTAGTGGTGCATGGCATCGTGCATTAAGGAAAATTGCTAGAATTTTCCGTATCAAAAATTAAATTTTTTAAAAAAGATTCAAATTTTTCTTATAATTTTGATTCTAAAAAAATAGATATTTGCGAAATTTAAAATTTTTGAAAAGAATTGATCATTTTGAAGAATTTAATTTTCTTATACTTTGAAATATTTTGGAAATTTTGAACATTTTTTCAAGGCATCGCGATATGTTAGCTGCGTAGAAACGAAATATAGAAGCGCGTCAGCGCCGCATTTCATTCTAACGGATAAATATTGGTACGGAACCCATAAAAATGTAAACAAAATTTGTTCTTATTATTAAAATATTTGCAAAATATCTGATAATTATATGTGCATACGTCTAATAATCATTTTTATCCGCCAAATGCCATTTTCTAGCTTTTTTTATTGGACGCTAGTCCTGCTTACCCAAAAATTTCATCAGTTCTTCATTTCGTCAATACAAATAAAATGTTTTTTGCATCATTCAAATCGGACGCTCTGTTTCTCTCAGAAATTGAAATGTTAGTTTCGGCACTTTTTGCTCCGTATCAAATAATATTGAATTGCAAATGTTTCGAGACTAAAAATTTGTCTCATCTTCAGTGCAATATTATTTAAAAAAAATATTTTTTTGATCACATAATTTTTCAACAAATATGTATACTACAATACCATTTGAAAATAGAAATTATGTAATAATATTTAATTTTTTAATTTATATTACACTGAAGGTGAGGCAAGCTTATTAAGCTATTTAAAGATCATTTTGACCCAGGATCAATTCGAAGGCAATTTTATCTGAATTTAAATATTTATTTCAATAAACTTCAATCATAATGTGAACTGTGCGCAGCAAAAGCAATGTTTTCTATAAATGTTCTGTAGTATAAAATAATAAAAAAAAACTTTGTATTTTTCGAGCGCTTCTTGTATTATTGACATTGTTGTAGATCTTTTCAATTATTGCTATCGGGTGAAGCCAATGGATGAGGACGTCGTATGGAAACAAAATAATACACTTTTTTAAAGTTTTTAAAAAAATCTTTAGTCGAGTATAGTCAGTTTGCCAATTAATCATTTTAAACACCCCATACGATGTATCGTTTAAGAAGGCAAAATAGATTCGACACATACACACATTCACAGACAAACACACTATTATCTTATATTTGAATTGTATAGAAGAATATAATGTATATAATAATAAACTAAGAATTATCATACGCTTAAAATGTGAATTTTATTAAATTATTTGTTCTTAATTTCAGATTTTGGCAAAGGCCTGTTTTAATAAATCGACATAATATTTTATTCATTAGTAACTAGTTAACTGTGATCGACGAGTATAAACGTTATGGAGAAGTAGCCATTTGCAATCAGTCACCATTTGCAATTTTTGAAAAAAGCAAAACTACTTCAAATTCTCAAATGTTAAGATTAAGATGTTTCGAATATTTTGAAGCAACGCTGGTATAAAATAAGTAGTTGTAAGTGTTAATTTTACGTAAAGAAAGAAATATAAATAGTTAAAGCTCAAACTTTTTCACTGTTTATAAACAGTGAAAAAGTTCGAGTTTTAACTATTTATTTCTAAATATATTTAGACAATAATATTTTCGCTTTAGCTAAAAAGTATATAATGAAGTAATCAATACGATTTCCATTCGATATTTTTCACAAAAATGTATAGTATAAATGTTTGTGTTAACTTAATTTTATTTAATTAACACTTTATTCTAATTATGTTCTAATTTGTGTGGTTAATTGCTGGAACTTCCTATTCCAAAATTTAATTTTTTTTAACTTAGCGTAGGGTAAGTTATAGAAATCGCAAAAAAAATCGAAAATGAAAATTTTTATATATCTTTACGTTTCAAAAGTTTCTGAATATTTTGGCATACCTTAGAAAAAATGGATGTATGTGTGTGTGTATGTGTTTGTGTGCGCGTGCGCGTGTGCGGATACAAATTTTCGTCGACGATTTCGGGAACACCGATCAACCGATTTAAATATTTCAAAAAACATTCGATTTGTATTGATAAGGAAACGTGCTGATTAGTTTTTGGCGATGGCAGGTCCAGCCGTTCCGAAGATTCGGGGCAAGAAGTGCCAAAAAACGGCAACTCAGTTTTTAGGAGAACGGGGCGTCCGATCCTAATAATTGAAAAAACATTTTACTTGTATTGCATCGTGCCTTATTGCAAAGTGCTGCAACTTCCCGAAATTAAAAAAAAGACTTTTTAAAAATTTTGTGTTTTTTAATATTTTGAAATATGTTAAAAATTTTAAACTGTTTTAAAACAATCGTGCTGCTTCAGCTGCGTAGACACAAAACACAGAAGCGGGTAAGCGCGATAAAAAATGTTATAGAACCGATGCATACAAAATTTATACTTATTATCAAATTATCTATAAAATATCTGATAGTTTGATGTGCATATGTCTAATAATCACTTTTGATCGCCAAATGCTTCTTTTCCAATTTTTTTTATTGGATCACCGAAACCGCTAGACGTGCCTCCCACAAATTTGAGCAGTTCTTCATTTTGTCAATACATGCACATTTTTTAATGTAATTGGACGCTCCGTTCCTCAATAATTGAATTATCAATTTTGGAATTCTGGCCCGTATCTTCGAAACAGTTGGACCTGCCTTGGCCAATAATTAAACAACACGTCTTCTTATCAATAGGAATCGAATTATTCAAATCGGTTAATCCGTGTTCTTGAAATCGACTTGAATAATTAAAAAAATATTAGATTTATATTGATGGAGATACGTGCTGATTAGTGTTTGGCACAGGAAGGTCCAGCCGTTTCGAAAAATGGTATGTGAGTTTCGATATTTCGTCTCTGAAACAGCTATGCAGCGCGATTGCTTTGTAAAAAGTTCATAACTTTCAAAAAAAAATCAAACTATAAAAAAAAGTTTTTTAAGTCAATTTTTTTACATCTTTCAAAAAATTTTAAAACGAATTCTTCATCTTAAGAGGGCTCGAGATCTGAAGAATATATTTTTACTAAACTTTCAGCTCGTTTACAAATTTTTATATTAGCCAAATTGCCAAATTTGATAATGACTTATTTGCTATTATTGCCAATTTGATAATTTACGTTCGGAGAGGAAGGCAAGGCAAAATAATAAATTTTAATAATCGGTTATTTGAACTCAAGTTTTGAATTGCAATCGTATTATGTTTTGTTAATTATTTTTTTAGAAATAAAAAATGTTATTAAAACAATCAGTTAACTAAGGACATATCATATATATGTGGATATATATATTTAAAATTTGTTGTTACGTAATTGCTAGGAAATAACAACAGTTACATCTATGATTAACTACAGTTTTTATTTTAAACAGTTTCATAATTATAATCCGGAAAAATTGTTTTTACAAAATTAAAGCACGTTAATGGTAATACAGAAGACTTGACTCATACCGTCATGTAGCATATCTTTTTGAATTTGCGCGCTGGAATTAAAAACAACAATAAATTATATTATCAATTATTACTGCATTCTTTTCTTAAGGTAATAATATAATCTTTGATTCATTGTAGTCAATGTAACTTTATCGCATAATTCAGAATGATTTATTTCGCAATTAAATAAATATAAGAAGTGTCTAGTGTACGCGCCAATGCGACAACTTTTTCAATGTTTTGATCAAAACCTGGGCAGTTTTTATGTATTGCATTCATATAATTGTGCTTTTGTTAACAGTTTGCATTACGGTTACAAAAAGGTTATAAAAGGTTATTTGTTAAATAAAACAATGCGCTTCACATGAGCAATGGGTATACCATTGTAATGTACAATATCACCTTCATCCTGTATTTGAAAACTAATACCAATCCAATATTGCCCTCAATTGAAGTATTTTTGGAAAAAAATCTAAGATTTAGGAGAAAAAAATCACGAGCCAAAAGCCTGAGCAATCTATTGCTATTCGTTTATCAATTAATAATTATGGTTAATCAAAAAAGTATCTACTTACAATTTTCTGGTAAACTTTATTGATATCCATATTGCTATCGTTCTTTCTATTGACAGCCCCTTGAGGAACACTAGTGGACGACGTTGAATGTTCCTTAGCTCTGCTGTTAACAAAATTGAGACTGTTGGTGTTTGCTGGAAGAGAATTGGTGTTACTTCCCGACATGTCGATTTCTGGCCACTTTCTTACGTACATGGGCAACTCGTTGCATTGTAGACTCAGAGATGCTATTATTAGATGGGTAATGATGAGAAGAAACACAAAATGATACTTTTATTCTAAATAATAATAACAATAATTCGATAAATTTGACAACGTTGCTTGTTAAAAGGGAACAATGGGCAGTGAAATTAATCGCACCATTTATTCATTGGCCGCTTTAGGTGTTTGGCCAAATTTGTTGAATTATTGCTTGGGCTTTGTATCACACAATTTGTGTAAGCCAGTAGTACTGGAAGGTTAATTAAAAACAATTTTGTTAATATATGTTAGTAACTTTTATTATACTTGCGACTTTATGTATATAATTAACAAGTATTGGTAAAATTGTCAGAAATTTTCAAAGCCGTCGATTTCATCAATTCATTTCATCAATACTTAACATATTAGTTATACTATCAACTATTTATCGGGAATTGCTCTTTTAGAAAGAGGCTGCCGTGTATATGTTAATTTTTTTTGCTGAGATGTTGATACAACTGTCCTTAATATTACGGAGAAATTTGATCATCTTCAGTTAAGTATTTTGTTATTTGCATTCAACTACGTCGGTTAACTACAATCATGTTTGGCAATCATTACAATGAACAAAATTTTTGAACAAAGGGTTTGTCTTAAATTTTGTGTTTTGAACGAAATTTTGTACGTTGAATCATTGAATGTTATTCATAAACCCATGGCAACTGTACTTTCTCAAAAATTCTGGCTTTGAGTGGTATAAGGCATTGGCAGAAAGCTGAGTCGTGAAAAATCTGAACGTCCATCCAAGTCTCCAATGAATGAAAACGTTGCCTCAATCGAGGAAATGGTACTGCAAAACCATCATTTAGGCTCTAAGGACCTAAATGATGTTCTGCTTTTGACCTTATCGAATCTGACGAATCAATTACACCATCAAATTTGCTGTTCGACACGTTCCACAAGTGTTGAACTTTCTTCCCATAAGACCCATATTGTAAACGCTTTTTTCGCCAAAAACTCATAAAATATCATGGAACAACCACCGTATTCACTAGATTCATCATCCTATAAATTATTTTTCTTTCCAAAACATAAATTGCCACTTGTTAGAACCGCTTTGGGTCGATAGATGCCACTAAGTAAAAATTAGGGTGCCGAAGGAGATCCTTTTAAAGGCTTTTAAAAAGAGCTTTGGAGATTGGATTAATTGTTGGCATATGTCCATTAGTTCAAATAGGGTCTATTTTAAAGGCGATAAAAAATTTAATGATTAAGCAATTTTTTAGGATTTTATGAAACAATTTCCAATACTTAGTTGATAATATGTGTATATCGATCTAAGTCATGAAAAACAATTTTTTATTTAAGGATCAGTAACACACTTTTACTTATAAGTAATTTTAATAATAAATTGTATCAAATAATCAAGTGTTCATTAAAGTTTCTTAAGAATTTTTTATGAGTAAATTACCTAATATCACTCAAATTAACACGATAAAACTTTCTTTTTTTAACATCTTATTATTAGAAGAGTTAAAGATAAGCTAAAACAATCACATCGTATAAAAGCGCTTAAAGTTGTGCAGTTACATTTTTGCTAACAACTTATTATGTCAATTATATTTAACTAGGGAAAATCTCAAATATCACAATTCTAAATCACAGCTTATTCTAAATCCAAACGTGCATTGTTAATGAAAATGTGTAAAATACGATATTAACAACGAATCTTTAGATTTATGGTGTCATCGTTTAACAATAAATGTATTACACTATGCAAAATCACTCAGTGAGTGTTCTCAGCATATATAATTATATCTTAATATATTTATGAATGAAATATTATACTATCACAAAAATTAGAATGTTATTTTGTATAAACTTGAATGCAAAAACAAAAACAAATACAGACAACCCTCCATATATACACTATATACATACTATGCGGAGCTAAAATTGCGAAAGGTTTTCTATAACGCGTTACTCTCACAGCGCGTTATAGGAAACAGACCATACGTTTCTTCCGCGCGGTAGAAAAAAAAACTAGTACAACCAACCCTCCGTTAACTCAGTACTATGGAAACACGATTTCCATACTACGCGGAGCCAAAAATGGTTAACGTGTTCCTTCCACGCAACCTATGAATGAGTTTTTGACTTTGGCAAACTTTCACGGAACATTAGTACTAGTTTTTTAGTTTAAACTAAAATCGCTTTTTTAGCTTTTGCTCTATTTTTTTAAAATACTCTCTTCAATTCCATAAAAACAATGTATTACTTTTTAAATTCTTTTGATTGGAATTTAGTATAGCATTTTACCACTTAAAATTTTTTAAGTCTAAATCATTTTTATATCTGTATACATTATAAATCGGGATTCGATCCGACTTCGAATAATTCGACGCATGAAGGCATGCGTAATGCGTAAAGTAAAAAAGCAGGTACAGGAAAATTTGGCCAACATCGAAGCTGGCTTGATGTTTTCTTTTTGTTTGGCATCTCAGGTAAATAAACAAATCTGCGATTTGTACTAATTAGTTATTTCATATAGCACGATTCCCATACAACGAGATAACAACTTTCCATAGAACGCACTACAAATTAGTCTGGATTGCACGACAAATCCAGGTTTTTATAGCACGATTCCCATATTACACGCTACGCATTGGTTGCGTTAATGGAGGGTTCACTGTAACTAGATATTGTAAGCTAGAATAAGTTTTACTTTCGACCCTTCGTTCTTTTACAATATGTCACTTTAAATGAGGAAAAATGAAGAAATTAATTGATGCACCTGCCTCAAGTGTACGAGAAAATGAAAATAAGAAAATACAGTAGACTCCAAATTTAAAAGGGATAAATTTGACTGAAGATTTAGAACCTCTGTTGAATTTATTGTTCAACGATGCGGTTGGCTTATCTTATTCAACAAACCAACGGCTTATCTATATTTGATGTATTTAAAATTTAAATTAATTTATCATATCTTTCATCATATATATATTTTTCATCATATCTTTATACAAACTCTTCAATTCAATAAAAATAATTTATAATCGATCGTGTATTTTATTCGTCTTTATATTACGCGGTATGAATGATTTGAAATGTACTTACGCTGAGTTTCTTATAACGCGATAGCCGATTTCCATAAAACGCGCTACGAAATGGGTGGGTTAAATCCGAGTTTTTTATAGCACAGTTTCCGCATTACTTAGTACGTTCTCATCACGTTATAGAGGGTTGATTGTATTCGTAGATATAAATAGAAACTCAAATATACATTTTTACAAAAATTAACATTAAAGTAGTTAGTCTTTACGAAGAATTTGTTTCTTATTCGTTCTCGGATGGCTAAATAATAATATTAGAGCTAAGCCGACTGTTTGGATCATCGCACCATTGACTTGTAGTCATGTCCTAATTAGGCTTACATAAAATTATCGAATAAAGTAAAATGATTGTACAAGATTATTCAACAACGTATCACATGAGTGCTACCATTAAATTAGTATTAATCTAATTTGTTTAATAAAATCGTTAGCTTGAACCATCATTATCGCTACCTTTTAAACTTGAAGAATGCTGCACACGCGCCGTTCCATGCTGCGGCCTGGAACTCAACTAAAAAATATAATTATATATAATATAATATAATATAATATAATATAATATAATATAATATATATATATATATAGGACAGGGTCGCGCGTTCGATTCCCCGCTCTGGCAACCTGACATCGGGCAGCGCGATGTCCATGTTCAATTGAAAATATAGATCAAAATATGTTTCCAATTGAAAATAAGCCCATCTCGGGCACTGCGGTGTGAAATGGAAATGGGAAAAACTCTCACACTACTTCTTCCCTGAATCGAGTTGGAGTTTAACTCAGCTCACGGACCTGCCCTAGGGCAGCACTACCCATTATATATATATATATATATATATATATATATATATATATATATATATATAAATTCGTATCTTATCGTATAATACTTACACTCGCAGCTTTAGTGCTTCCAGGAGACAAGGTTCTCGAGTGTCTTTGTCTAGTGGCTGGAAGAACCGCCGATCTCGCCGTCTGAGCACCAGTAATCGGAATGGATCCGAGTGGGGCTGGCTGCTGATTTTGTTGATTTGTCTGCTGATGCAGATGTTGATTGTGCACCTGTTGTTGTTGTTGCTGCTGAGCACGAGCATACATGCCGTACTTACGCTCGTCGTTCTGACGCAAAGAGCCAGTCTTTTCTAAGGCTAAGTAGATCTTAAATAATAAAAAAAATATGTACATTTATTGGCCTCCTTTTTACTACCTACAGTTAGTGCCAATAAAATGATATTTTATGAATCTTTTTATGAAGTGGATATTTATGATAGTCATAAAATGATACAAAGCGGAGTATGGCATCGTAACTTGAAGGAAATCGACTTTTTGAAACATTGAAATTGATCATCCATTTGGAAACCTAAACTTCTAAGACAATTTGTAGAACATTAATATAAGTAGGTCCCTTTTAAATAGATTTAACATTGTTCAACTCACATGCTCCACTAATCCATAACTCCTGATTAAAAAATCGCGTTGTGCCAGCATTCCAAGACGTTCACGTTCTTCGGCATCTACGATCGGTTCAGGTTCGAATGGTGAATCGTTCGAGCCGCTCAGGGATCTGAAAAAAAAATCGGCTTAAATACTATATAGACTCTTCAGTGATATGTCTATTATATAGACATATAACTGAAGATAATTCCAATGGCAACTTATACTTTTATATAGAACTAGCTGACCCGGCAAACGTTGTTTTGCTAAGTAAGTAAGTAAGGTATATTCTAAACAATTTCTAGAGAATCAAAAATATAATACTTCAAGTGTATAAGGATGTGTTGTTTGAATGCTACAAACAATGAGGTATTATAAAAACAATAATCGCCGTTAGTTTGTCTATATTTTGTCTATACAATTAAACTGGAAGTTTTATACACTTTCTATAAAAAACATTATAATCCATCCAAGTCATTTTGGTGTTTTGACTTATTGATTACGTTTCAAGTTTTTCAGATTCTTTTTGGATTTGGGATTTTGTGTATAATTGTAAATAATACTACTGAGCTTATACAAAATTTTCAAATTTTTGCGAGGAAAGATAGAAAATGAATTAAGTATTTCTTCTTTGACCTGCTTTTTGAAAAGTTTTAAGTAACATTCGATGAATTAAAGTAAATTTAATAAAAAGTATATATGTAGAGCAGGGCGAGGCATAAAGGTCCAATTTGACTTTCAGCAAATAAAAACTATATTGTGAAAACCATAACAATTATATCACAACAATAACACATATCAAACGAACAATTATCTGACTACGTGCAAGTAAACTGCCTTCTACTTCATCATTGTAGAAATGTGTTTTTTTGATGTCTTTTAAAAATCTGTTATCTAGACCTTTTTACCCTATAGGCGGGGTAACTTGAAACGGGTAGGTGACAAAAAGGTTTAAATCCTTATTATAATTTAAAGGCATTTTACAAAATAATTGCATTTTTAACTAATGCTTAAAAACTACCAACGGAAGAAAATACTTTTATTATGGATTTTCAAAGATTACCGTTTATCTCCCCCATTTCAAAAATTACCGTTTTCAAATCAAGGTTTTAGCTGGTTATACATCTTTTTTACTTTTCATATATTACCATCTATTCTTCGATAAATTCTAGGAAATTATAACTGGGAAAGTGTTATTCGACAAAATGTCCCTTTGATCAATACCAAATTTTGGTTCTGAATTTAAATAACATAAATAAAAAATAATATAACCTAGAAAATGTTTCATAAATGCCAAGGAGTATATAATTATACAAATGCGATCTTTCAGAGCACCGTGTTTGAGAAAAATATGCCAAAAAGTGCATTTTCATATTAACATTTCAAAAAAGTTGATATTTTGAGTCTCTAGTAACACTTGCGGCCCGTTTACTAACGTTTTAGTATATAAATAAAACTACAAACAAAACTACTTACTACAATTTAATCATAATTAAATAATAATCACGTAAAACATCCTATTAAACGTAATTGAACACCATCTGTCAAAAACGTTTGAAATTTCACCTATTAGCCACCGTCCATTGTTTTATTCAAATTAAGCTTCTACAAAAATTTTCAAATTAAAAATGTAAAGTTTCTATGCGATTTGGAAATAATATCTCACCTTTCCGACCATCTCTGGATTGGGACGAATTTTTCAAGACTAAGACTGGCCAAATCGGTTCAGCCGTTTTCGAGTTTTACCGAATCATTTGATCGAGAGCTCCATTTTTATATAAAAGATTAGACAGCTTGAGTCGCAAGGAAATAATGCTACAATGTTTAGTGCTTTCATAATTGATAGAATTACGATATATTTGTCTTTTTATTTTATAATGAATTTTTTATGTTCAAAAATAAATACATAATTGACAAGCAAATCTTACTAAAAACCTGTACATTTTCGATTTATCTCACCGCTAACTTCCATTTTTATTTTACACGACCTGCCAAACTCACAGTGCAATTAAATTAAAAAGAAATCTTTGGCTCTTATTGAATTTTTGACTCATGGTTAATTCATTTAGCCGTTATTGGATCCAAGCACTTGGTGAATTCCAATTTGAACAAAAGTTAGGAAACTTGGTTTATTCATTATTTTTCATATTGTGACATTCATAATACTGAGAAATATTAAATTTATTAAATTTGCAAATAACTTGCAGGAATTTTATGATTTTGGTCTAAAAATTTGAATAGAAACATTCCTGCGTGAGTACGTAATAGAGAAATATTCCCCTACGGGGGAATTAATAACTTTACTTGAAAATGTCAAAAATTTTAAATACGGATACCGATCAGATGGATTTAGAATGCTCCCCAGTCAAACCGAAAAAGGTCTAACGAGTGCTAACAAGTATAAGAGGTCTAATACAGATATTGTTGAAGAAGATTCTTTACATCAGAAAAATGACTTAATTTCCCTAAATGAATTTAATCAAGAAGCAACTACCAGTAAGGATTCAGAATGGTTTGAAGTAAGAAACAAAATTCAAAGAAATTTAAATGAAGAATCAACATGCAAAAAAACATCTTCAAATTCGAACTACTGGCTAAACCCAACTCCCACAAGCAATATATATGAAGTTTTAGCTAATCCTAATACCGAAGACTCGAGTGATAATGCAGCCCAGTTAACAGACCGCCGCCAATTTTATACATGAGGCAGTGATATCAACCATTAGCTCAACTCTTAGAATGTGAAGCAAAAATCTTTATCAAATAAAAGTTATTGACGAAACTAGGGTTAGAGTTAATCTTGATAATGCTAAACTTTACAATAAAATTCTCAAACTTCTGAAAGAGAGGGGTACTCAAATGCATTCTTTCCAGGAGAAATGTAAAAGAACGTTCAAAATAGTGGTTAAAAACCTACATTTCAGCACGGATACAGATATGCTCAAAAATGAAATACAACAGTTAGGTCACAAAGTCGTTCGTATTGAGAACATTAAAAGCAGAATCTCAAATTCCCTCTGACATGTTTTTAATTGAGCTTGAACAACAGCCTAATATAAAGATTTTATAAAATTGATTTTTATATAAAACTAAAGTAGAAATAGAGGCAAAGAGGTTCTCTAGAGAAATTGTTCAGTGCACTCGCTGCCAAAGTATGGTCATACCAGAATTATTGCCACCGCACCCCCAGATGCGTTAATGCGCTCAAGATCACTTGACAGAAAAATGCAAGTGGGAAAAAAGGTCGACCAAGTGAAGTGTGTCCTTTGTAATGAAAATCACCCTGCTAACTATAAAGGCTGTCACGTCTATAAAGAATATATTGAAAAAAAAAAACACTTCATTACGTCAGAAAACAAGTAATGTGCAAAATTTAAAACCAAATGCTACTTTAAGACCGGGCGTAACTTACTCCAATATTACTAGAAACAACACAACTTTACCTACTGACTAACTCAACGAACTCAATAAACAATAGTAACTCTGAAAACAATACTAACAATAAATGTAATGACTTAACAGAACTTAAAAACATGATTAAATATTGAACAGAAAATGGGCATAATGCTTAATTTACTAACAACAATTTTATCTAATAAAAAATAATTATGTCTATGCAACTAACTATTTGCATATGGAACTCGAACGGCTTGAGCAATCATGTCCATGAACTCAAACAATTTTAACTACCAATGACGTAGACATTATGCTAATTTCCGAGACGCATTTTACCGAGACAAATCACAATATTCGTTTTCCTAATTATCACACATATACCACAAATCACCCCACCCGGACACAGACCTCACGGTGGCACTGCCATTATCATAAAGTCAAACATAAGACATTACGAGACAGAACCTTTTTATACTGACTACATACAATCGACAAATGTTTTAATTGACCTAATGACTCACAAAATTACAGTATCGGCAATCTATTGTCCGCCAAGGCACATTATTACTGAAAATCAGTTTACAACTTTTTTTACCAGCCTTGGAAATTTGTTTATTGCGGGAGGTGATTATAACGCAAAGCACACATTTTGGGGATCTAGACTAATACAACCTAGAGGCCGTCGTTGTATAATACATATAAATAATAATCTTCGGACATTTTCTACGGGTGAGCCCACATACTGGCAAACTGATTGAACAAAATTCCAGACCTCCTCGATTTTTTTTGTAGCCAAAATATTAAAACGAGAGTGTTGAAATAAATTCAAGTCTGGATCTCAGTTCTGATCATTCACCAGTAATTCTTAAATACTCCACTAATACTCCAACCAAAGTCATGAGTTCGCTTACAAACAATTTACCGATTGGCTTCTTTTCCAAGAATACATCGAAGACACCATTAACTGTAATATTCCATTAAAAAGTGAGAATGATTTGAATATCGGTATCAACAACTTCACAAATACATTAATTGCAGCAGCTTAAAATCACTCCTATTCTAAATCACAATCACAGTCACTCTGTGCCCATAGATATTAAAAAAATCATTGCACAGAAAGAAATTAAGAAGAATTGGCAAATAACTAGATCACCGGAAGATAAAAGAAAATTTAACAGTGCATGCAGAGACCTGAAAAATTTAATAATAAATTATAAAATATTTCTTTTGAAAACTACTTACATAATCTTTCTGCAAGTAGTGAACCAAATTATTCTCTTTGAAAGCAACCAAAATTGAAAAGACCAATTGTACCAATTCCTCCTTTAAGAAAAACAGACGGTTCATGGGCAAGAAGTCCGAAGAAAAAAAACTAATGCATTCGCCGAACACCTGCGCCTCACATTTCAGCCATTTTCACGTAAATGCAACTCTAATGATGACAATTCATTTATGATTTTCTTCAGGATTCACCGTCGCTAGTGACTCATGATGTTAATCGTTTTACTGCGGCTGAAGTAACCCAAGAAATTGCAAAAGCAAATTCTAGAAAATCACCTGGACCAGACCGGATTTCTATTAAAATGCTTAAAGAACTTCCAAGAAAGCTATTAGAATGCTCACAATAATATATAACTCTATACTGAGAATGAAAACTTTTCCGCAGTCTTGGAAAAGAGCTAAAATAATCCTTATAGTGAAACCAGGTAAAGACCCTTATCTATTATCTTCCTACCGGCCGATAAGTTTTTATGTCTTGCATATCGAAAATATTTGAAAAGCTAATTCTTCAACGGATTAAAATAATCCTACAAGAACAAAGTTTTATTCCGAACCATCAATTTGGGTTTCGCGACAAACATTCAACAATTGAGCAAGTTCACAGAATAATAAACGTATAAACAATGCGCTGCATAATAAAGAGTACTGTTCTGCGGCTTTTTTGGATCTCAAGCAGGCATTTGACAAAGTATGGCATACCGGATTAATGTATAAAGTTAAAAGATGTTTACCAGATTCTTTATTCCTATTAATAAAATCCTATTTACAAAATAGAAACTTTTTTGTCAGCATCGCCGATACGGACTCAAATATTACCGAAATTAATTCTGGAGTGCCTCAAGGGAGTGTCCTCGCCCCAACACTATTTTTAATTTTTACAGCTGATTTTCCAACTTCAACTGACACGAGTTTAGCCACATTTGCTGATGATACGTGCATCATCGCCCAAACAAAGATCCGACTGCAGCTTCCAAGCTTCCATTCACAGCCTCAGCACCATCTCAGCTTAGCTGAGAAATGGTTTTCGTTGTGGAGGATAGAAGTAAATAGCACAAAATCATCCATATAACTTTCCACGCTTCGCACCCAAACTTGCCCCAGCAGTTGTACTCAACGATGAATTATTCCGTCCAAAGAATCATAAAGTATCTCGGCATTCACTTAGATAGGAAACTCAACTGGAAAGTACACATAAAGAACAAAAAACCCAAATAGATCTAATCTTCAAAAATTATTATTGGCTCTTAAACAGAAAATCAAATTATCAACTTACAACAAATTACTTATATATAAAGGCTGTAATCAAACCCGTGTGGACCTACGGATTACAACTTTGGGGTACTGCTAAAAGAGCAATTTAAAACATAATACAACGAGCACAAAACAAATTCCTGCGGCAAATATTAAACGCTCCTCACTACACGCCAACATGGATTCTCCACAAAGACACGGGTATACCCTACAATTCAAGAACATATATCAATGTTTGCCTGTAATTATAAGAATAGAATGACGCACATCCAAACCACTAGCATGCAACTTATACCAGGAAGGCCAGCCGACCAGGCTCAAAAGGAAAATACCTCGAGATTTATTATAGTTTATTTTTATATTTATATTTTTTTTTCTCTATATATTGTCTTTAGTTTTTTCTTTTTTATATATTAA